AAGAATAACTAGTCAAGAATAATCTGTGATTTGTAGACATTTTGATGAATTTTGATAAAAATTTGGCTAATTTTAATCTTCAGGGTAAAATCAATAAAAAAACTTTATGTTTTGAAATTCAAATACACTTTAAACTAGTTTTGAAGAAAAAGATATTACCTAGTTGTAGCTCTATGTACAATGCCAGCATTATTACTTGTATAGGTATATCACAATCTGATTCTTTCGACATCCATACCTGAAATAAAAATTTTGATAGAAACAAAAGTAAATTATATTGAAAAATTTGGCGCATAATTTTCAATTTGTTTCTATTACTCATTATAATATTATTATGAATTTAATTTAAAGTATTATATGTTAATTTTTTCTATCAGAATGTATGGACTTATAATTTTAATATTAATTGGGAAAACTATCTTGTTAATAATAATATTCATTTTTAATATTAATGTTAAATAATAATGTTAATAATTGTAGCATATTATTCAATCTGAGAAAACAATTCTTAGAAAAGGAAAACAATCGTGATTTAATTCAAGTTTTTTATAATTACAGTACTTTTAATGGTAATTGTGAGTAGTGTTAATCTTGATAAATATATACACTCACTTGCTTTAAGGTTTCTCCAGATTTATCTAGTTCACCTCGTATGGCATAGGCCACAGCCAAGTTGTAACGTAACACAGCAATGCCTGTAGAAACCGTAGTAGGATACCATGCTACAATTTAAAGTAACAAGAAATTCAGATGCAACCTATTACTAAACTCATGGAATTATTGTGTTATAAATTATTACATTCCAAAAAAACTTATATATATATATATATGTATGTATGTAATATGTAAATATTGTTATTTTTATTTTGTGAATCTTTTAAAGATTAAAAAAAAATGCTATATTTTCATTTGAAAGATTAATAAAATTTAAAAAGGAAAGAAAAACTGTTAGATTCTTTAAAAAAATAAATAAATAAATAAGTAAACAGTCTTATAAAAGAGAAAAAAGGAGAAAAGATATAATTTTCTAAATTCACCTTTTGTAGGCTTTGCCGTAACTTCTTCCATTTTTTCTTTATCTTTCTCTTGAACTTCCGGCATTGATATAAATGTATGCAAGTCTTGAAGATTTTCCGGCTTGAGATATTCGAGTGCTTCGCTAATTTTATCCATAAAGATCAGACTTTCAGCGGCATATAAATTACCTAACAGTTTATATGCCCCAGGCAACTTATTAAAACTTAGTAGAGACTTTGCATGTTCAAGGGACATTACATAATCTCCAAGACACAAAGAAACATATGCGCTAGCAGCTAATACACTAATTTTTAAGTTAAAAGATTCGATAATTGTAGCTTGGGATATTAACGTTGCATGCTGCATACCTGAAATAATTGTATGAAATAAATTATTGCATACACATAGATACACATACATACACACACAAAGAAAATAGGGGGAGAGGGGGCTGAAAAGGGGCAGGAAAGGAGAGGACAAAGGAGAAAAGAGCGGAAAAGATAGAGAGAGATATACAAATCATACATATATGATGTATCAATGTATGTAAATTATAATCTATACCCAAGTTGTGACCAGATGTTAATGGTAGTGAACTTGTCACTGTTTGTGCATTTATTATGGCTGTTTGAGGCACATTTGGCTCATTATTATTTGGTAATAAAAATAATGCATTCTTCAGGCATAATGATCCAAACTCCAATGTTGGTTGTGGTATTGCATAGGATAGGCCTTCCGAATGATAATTAACATCTTTTGAAAGAGATGCGGCCAGTATAATTTTCTTATGAATACCGGAACCTATAACTTTCTGTACCAAATCTTTCCGTCGTTTTGGAATATTAAAGTCCACTTTGTTCGACTAAAAGATAGATGATATGATTGCATTATTATATTACACTAAGCTTATGTGATCTTATTTTATATAAATTTGCATTATAGTTTAACTGTAATAAACAGTCAATGCTGTCAAGATATTACATCAACTATAGAGTACAGTTTGAAAATAGAATCGATATCGTAAATATATACTTACATATTTATGATTATAGATACAACATTCTGCCATTCTGAGCCAAAGTTTAGGATTATTATGCAACTTTTGTGCTGCTTCTGTGAAGCAATCAAAAGCTTTTGATGCTTGACTAGCATGCAACAATGATACACCTAAACTGTACATCAGCTCATAATGTTTATTACCACCAAGTGTGTATAGCGACTGAGAAAATAAAGGATCTGCGTAAAATAAATTTTTATTTTTTTAATATTACTTACATAAACAATTTGCAATATTATCAAGAAAATGATTAAATTGATTTGTTTGCCATAAAAACTTAACGTGTTTGAATTTAAATTGATTCTAATACATCTCAATGATCATTTTAACCAAATATATTTCAATTTTTTTGTATCTTTTATATTAAATTGTACAACATATTACATAGATATTTGAAAATAGAAGATTGTGTGAAAATTGTGATATTTAAACATATTAAAAGCAATATTTGTTTAATACTTGCTTATTTTAAATATAATAATGAATAAAAGTGCGCCAACACAGAACAATAAGACTAATATTAACTATAACACTAATATATATATATATATATATATATATATATATATATATATATATATATATATATATATATATATATATATATATATATATATATATATATATATATATATATATATATATATATATATATATATATATATATATATATATATTATATATATACATATACATATAAATTACCAGTGTCTTTGACTTGCACACTCTCCACTGCACATTTGTTTTCATGCAGAGCTTTTTGAAGATAAAAGCAAGCTAAATTTGGTTTGCCCATTGCAAGGTATAGGCATGCTATATTATTATAATATAAAACGGCCGAAGATTCCCCACATAATCTGTAATTCATGTATTAATGCAATGCACTTTAAAAAAATACAGAATCAATGACTTTACTTACTCACACACACACACACACACACACACACACACACACACACACACAAAGTTGCATAAAAACGTCTTCCTAAAAAAGATGTTCTAATCTTTTCCACAGATTTATAAAACATCCAAAAAATTCAATTGTATCTCTATTTTCTTTTTTTTCGTATACATTTAGTTATTCACTTCTCGTTATTTCAGCTTCATTGTGTAATCTTTTGCTAATCTATTTCATTCTGTATATTCTTGTTGCTATTGTATAACTATTACATCATCTACAGTGTTGGAAAAAGTGGAAATGTTCAAAATGCATAAAATTATAATGTTTCACTTTGTACAGTTAATATTAAGAATGTTTACAGATTCTTGAGACTTTGTCCCATGCATTTATATATGAATAAATTAACATTTGTAACATACTTGAAATCTAATATCTCTATTGTTGCAGAATTCAACAATCTCATTGCCTTCTTGTAATTTCCTCGTAAATACTCCAAATTAGCCTTTAAAAAAATTGTTGATGTATTCTGAAATAATAAAATAATTTGTAATAAGAATGTAAGCAAGAATGTATTCATACAAATTTAATTAAGAATATTATATAACAAAATAGTAAAAGCACACATAAAACTGTATACATAAAGGTTATATAATTTCATACAAGATTTATAATGAATAAAATAGTATTTGTGTACGCTCACAATATTTACGGATAGTAGCGAGTTACTTGTCCTACCTCAATCAAAATTCTCACTTCCATATACAATAATTATATATTTTTTCTATTCATATTTTCTATTCAGTCGTTTTTTTTTTTTTTTTTTTTTTTTTTTTTATTTTTTTTTTTTTTTTTTTTTTTTTTTTTTTTTTTTAATATCGTGTCGTTTATATAGGAAAAATGTGTACATATAATTTTTTAAATTTTGTTATAATTACAAAGAAAATAATCTTTGCAATAATTAAAATTTGATTTGCGGTTTGATTGTAACAATACTAATTCCAAAATTTACAAAAGTTGCAATATACAATACCATCTATTAAACCGTCAAATCAATATGAAATCTGTGTGAATAAAATCTGCCATAAGATTTTTCAAGGAATCTATCAATAATAATTAATGCTAATGTGTCATTCTGTATGTTATTATGATAAATAATAATATTACCGCTAATATGCCTAGCGAAACTATCGTCTTCCACTCTTTTTTGCAGAGTTTTAATTGATGAGTCAAAAGATATATTCTTGCTTTACATTTTAAGAGTTTAATTTTGAATGCATCTGTCACAGTATCATTGACGTCTTTCTTTTGTTCTTTCTGCTCTTTTATTTTAGATTTGATTACTCCATCCTTGTCAACGGATGATATTTTACAACCGTCGATAGATACATATTGACTCTCCACATAATTTAATATTGACAGAGCTGCATCCGGTTGCTCCATTGTTATATATAGTTCAATCAGTAGCAGACAAACTTTGTTTGCTAAAGTTTCCTCTGCAATCATAAAGAAAGAATCAAAATATATGTATACATATGTATATACCACAAAACATATGTATGTATATACGTATGCATTAGCTTTAAGTAAAATATTCAAACTGCAAAAGATCAGCTATTCTCAATAAAGCAAAAAGCCCTTGTTTTGTTTATTTAGACCAAACAATTTGTCAATCGTTTCCCCTTTATCATATATAAATACTTAACTTTTTTTCCTACATTCTCTGTTAAATAAGATATGCTTAGTTATCAGCAACTTCACAACATCCAATTTCTATTCAAAAAGATTATCAATACATACCCATTGGCTCGATAAAAGCAAATAGCCTGGTCATGATTTGAAGTGCAGCATTATATTGTTTAGTGTGATACAACAAAACAGCTTGATTATATCTCATAACACACTTCTCGACATCATCTATGGCCTCGCTGGAATCTGCTGATATTTGGCCACATATGGCGATTAAACTTTTTCGCATTAATTCAGTCTTTTTCAAGTCACTTTTATAATATTCCACCACAACTTTGTTATGCGTAACTTTGAGATCCATAGGCCGAAGGCTTTCTAACTTATTCAAGTATGATAAGCATAATACATACGAGCCTTTTTGAAATTCTGACAGTGCATTTTGTGCTAAATCGCGTTCTTGCTCACTAATGACAGAATCTTTATTTTGTACTTCTAAAGTTTCATTCATGATAATACAATTGCTCTTAAATGTGTGCGTATAATTGTGGGTTTCTATAAAGAGAACTGTCTGTAATTCTTAAATGTTGTGTATATATATCTATATATATTATATCAGCAAGTATTTCATTTCATGCTGGTCTTTTTAATTGAGTTATCCAATTTATTTCTCGCACATGTGACATAAGTTTAAATTATTATTAAATGTGATTAATATATTATAATACACAATATTTAAACAATACGCGCACAAATTTTCTGTTTAAATCCCTGTATCGAATATCTCCCCAATGCTATAAAGTATAAAATATAAAATGGACTGCTGATGCCCCCCCCCCTCCCTCCGGGCAGTGGAAGGGGTAACCGCATGAGTAATGGCCCTCGCACACTGGACGCGATGAGCGATGAGCGATGGGCGATATCCAATGAGAACTCTGCTTTTCCGAAAAAATAAAGGTGCCATTAAGGTGCCTTTACATGGCAGCGTCAAGCGTCGAGTGTCTGCGTAGAAAATTGCGCAGAATCTAATTTCAGCCTAGAATCTATCTCTTTTAAATTCTGCGCATTTTTCTGCGCAGACGCTTTTTTCCTGCATGTTTATAACATACTGCTCCTTTAAATCATTTCCTACTTTTAACAATAGTTTTTCAAACTGTGTCGTTTTGTCATTTGTGAATCTCTTTTTGTGTCTTATTTATTTGAATATTTCAACCATCCAAAATCTTTTGCTGCATTTGTATTTTAATTTAATTTTAATTTACATTCCAGAGTAATAACGTTTTATAATATATTTTTGATTAATAATATTAATAACACACACACACATACACATCTATTACATAATAAAATAAATGAAATAAATATAATTCTGGGGAACAATATTCTGCGCAGACGCTTAACGCTCGACGCTCGACGCTTGACGCTGCCATGTAAAGGCACCTTAAAGCTCTCATTGCTTATCGCTATCGCTATCGCCTAGCATGTGCGATAGGCTTTACACTAGAACTTTCAATCCCCTTTCCCCTTTGTCAACAACCGCGCGGTAATACGTCCAGCTCCGTCCAGATATTTCTTATGTCCATGCTGCGGCTAAAGCAAACAAGGTTGCGTTTCGATTTTCACCGCCAGTACCGAAAATCTATTAGCGTTTTCGAATGAACGGGTTAATCCAACCCGGATCAATTAATTACTATATTTTACTATGAATTCTAGCCTTTTATTGGCGGAGACGATGCAATGACGTCATTAATCGTTCTCAGAGCGATTAAATCTGCTACATTCGAAAACGCTATAAGTATGATGATTCTTACACGTGCTGTTAGATATTTCTCGAAGTATATGTATCGCGATACTCGGCGTTATTTAAATAACGGTAATTGTGTGACTGAAATATAAATACGTAATAAAAATTTGTGTATATATATATATACTACGTGGGCATCGGCCCCCACTCCTTAAATAAAGGCAAACGCTCAGTCTAGATATAATATGTCTATGCGTTTGACAGTTGCGGATTGACCAATCAGGACCTTAGCACAATAAAAAAAAATAAGGAACAAGGTATCGATCATGTAACTTTTCCCCTAGGGCGGAAAAGTGAAAAATTTTGTCATTCATTTCAGGGCCAATTTCACCATCGGCCAAGTCCGGTTAGATGAACCGACGGTCGACGGTTAAAATTAGCAGGGTGGCCAACAGAAAATAGAGGTGAAGGAAAACCAAGCATTCATATCATTTCAGTTGGAACCCTGCTAATTTTAATCGTCGGTTCATCTAACCGGACTTCGTGAAATTGGCCCTATGTCACCGACGAGATATTATTAAAAACCGGTGGTCTTATGGGATTTAGTGTGACTGGAAAAAAAAACTCGTTGCGCGTTATTTTAGGGCCCGGGCACATAAAAAAACTTAAGCAGTAAGACTTAAGACTTAAGAATTTTAACCATACGGAATTTTCGAAGCGTAGCTTCAATATGGCTGCCTTACTGTTCAACCGTGATTGGTCAATTCGCTTACGTCTTAAGTCAATCAGAACTCGTGCTAGAAAAGCAGAAGCCAGTCAGAACTCGCGCTGAAAATAAGCAGTACATTCTGCTTTTTTAGCTCGAGTTCTGATTGGTTTCTGTTTTTCTAGCACAAGTTCTGATTGGCTTCTGCTTTTCTGCCAAGATGTGAATCCGGCCTTAGAACATATATAAATGGAAGGGGAATAGCAGGCTGAAAAGTGTCGGAAGGAAGTGAGAAAGAAATCGTAGTTGCCTCTCTCTTGGGAGTACCTACACATACAAGCATCGTGTCTGTAGTATACATACTTTTGTGTACACACACATGGCCGTGCATGCGCACTTTTGAACAGAGTAACTCACAAGAGAGAGGCAACTATGATTTTCTTTCTTACTTTCTTCCGACATGTTTTTATATCGGGAAACAAAGGCATTCCCCTTCCATTTATATATGTTCTAAGGTAGATACACATATAGATAGGTTAAAAGGTTAAGTTAGGTATCTATCAAAAAAAAAAAAAACTATCTTCAGCATACTATGCGTTGAATCTATATGTGTGTTGCGGTTCGAGTTCGAGATTCATGTAGGTCAGTGCGGTGTTGGTCGGCGTGCGTCGTGGTGGGTGTATAATGTAAGTGTAAGTATGTAAGAGGGTGCACGCAAGATACACACACAAATGATAGTCGTTGATGGTGACTGTCGGGACTGGTTGAAATTATAATTAGGACTAATTGGAGTTGTCGCAACTGGTTACTGTACTGTACGGGACTAAAAAAGTGATGGCGAGTAGCAATGGAGTAGTATCCGTGATGGTGGTGATTGCCAAAGATTTTTTTTTAACGAATGGCTCTGTCCGAGGTGCATAATTTGACAGCGATTATCGGCAATAATGTTTTCGCCGCTGATAAGGTGAGTAAATATCCTCTCTCTCTCTTTCCTTCTCCCTTGCTCATTTTCTCTCTTCCCCCTTCCTTCTCTCGCTCGCTCCCCCCTCTCTATCTGTGTGTGTGTGTTCGTGTGTTCGTGTGGCGGTTCGAGTTCGAGATTCATGTAGGTCAGTGCGGTGTTGGTCGGCGTGCGTCGTGGTGGGTGTATAATGTAAGTGTAAGTATGTAAGAGGGTGCACGCAAGATACACACACAAATGATAGTCGTTGATGGTGACTGTCGGGACTGGTTGAAATTATAATTAGGACTAATTGGAGTTGTCGCAACTGGTTACTGTACTGTACGGGACTAAAAAAGTGATGGCGAGTAGCAATGGAGTAGTATCCGTGATGGTGGTGATTGCCAAAGATTTTTTTTTAACGAATGGCTCTGTCCGAGGTGCATAATTTGACAGCGATTATCGGCAATAATGTTTTCGCCGCTGATAAGGTGAGTAAATATCCTCTCTCTCTCTTTCCTTCTCCCTTGCTCATTTTCTCTCTTCCCCCTTCCTTCTCTCGCTCGCTCCCCCCTCTCTATCTGTGTGTGTGTGTTCGTGTGTTCGTGTGTCGTGTGTATGTGTCCCAGAGAAAAAAAAGAGGAAGAGAAATTGCAAGAAAGTGCAACTGGAAAGAACGGACTCATTTGTAATATCGTATACTATACCTAGAAGAGAAAGAAGGATAAAGGGTGCGATTCGCAATTGTTTGAAGCGGTTATCAAACGTGAAAGCGATAATTTCTCGCACGTTTCACGCGTTTTGTTCGTGAGAGTGCAAATGGTGATAATATCATCTCCCACATTTTTTACCATTACTTGCCCCGATCGCAACGATAGTAATGTACATACGCATATTCGCATATAGGTGTTATTGGATTGAATCTCTGTCCGTGGTGTAGCGACGATCGTGTGATATGATACTTATGTTGATAGTCTTTGCTCCTTGTTCGATTTCTCTTCTCAAGATTCTTCTTACTTTATCAATCATTACGTGCTAACCACATCGATCTAACGCACTTGATCTGGCGTAATATTTTCGTGTACGCTAAACTTTTTGTCTCGCTGTTTATGTCCTTTAAAATCGACAGATTCTCCATACAC